AAGTCCCTCCTTCTCCTGCCTTGGGAGAGAGAAATGAGGGGAGCTGGAGCCAGCCGCAGGTACAGGCCAGGGAAGGCGGAACGCTCTGGAAATGAGGCTGGGCTTCCCAGACTAGGTTCCTGCGTGCACATACACATGTACCTGTGTGCACCTCGGCAGAGCCGTGCACACGCGCGCGCACACCTACCCCAGGGTTGTTAAGCAGCAAAGTCAGATCCCTGGGCACCTACCAAGGCAGAGAAAGGTCATTTTAGGCATTTTCCCTGGCCAAGCTGCCACCTTCTGGCAGCCACGAGGAGGTAAGGGAGGGAGGGAGGAAGGAAGCCAGGATGGGAGGAAGGAAGGGGCGCGGCAGCTGGCGCCCTCTGGTGGACAGTGGCTTCTCACGCCGCACCCCACTGAGAGGCAGAGCTGCCGAACGCGCAGTCCAGGTTTGCTGCTCCATCCAGGAGCCTGGAGGGGACCAAGATGGGCAAGATGCTAGCGGTGCTCACACCATCTCGGATCACTGGCTCTCCTGGCCAGAGCTGACCTCCTGCCTGGTGTCCGGATGGCAGCTGAAACATCCTTCAATACACAATTGGAAACGCCAGGTTGAACCCGCGATGGCTGAGCGCACCCCCAAGTTCCCAGTCTCACAACACTGTGGCTGGCGGTGGAGCTCAGAGAAGGCATGAGACCTGCCCAGAGCCACGCCATTTATGCATGCTGGAGCGTTGGCTTCCATCTATCTTTAATGCATACAACTGGTACGGAGCTCAAGGTTACAACGGAGTCCAAGAGAGAACCCTGTTCCCAGCCACCAGCCCCAGCCCAGCCTTAGCTGGTAGCTTCCTGGGGATTTCTTGCTGTACATTCTGTGGCTGCATATGTTTTTATTTTTGTAAGTACCTGCTTGCAGTACATGATTATGTTCATCGTGGGGAGTTGCTACCTGCTCACATCTTAATTTTTTTTTTGGTTCCCTTCAAAAGATTTTTCTAAAAAGGCGCAAAGGGTTGGAAGCCATAACCCCTCTCAGCTTTGCCTTTGGGCTGTCGCTGAAGATTATTCTGTGCAGTGAATGTGCAAAGCTGTGCCGTTCTCTTTGAAAAAGCATATAACCATGTGGACCTGCTCGCAGTGGATGGGCAGTTAGGGGTTGCCAGGCCTCTGTGCCTGCAAATGTACTGCAGCAAACCTCCCTGTGTGTTCCTCTCGTCACGCCAGCAGAGGTGTGGGTTACTGGAAACATGCCTTGTGATTCTGACCAATGTTGTCAAATCTCCCTCTTTTAGTGTACCAGTTGACACCCTCTCCTTTGACAGGAAGTGGGACTGGGCTTCCGAATTCCAAAGCCCAGGCTGTCTCCATGGTAGCCTACACCCTCACCCAAAGTCATGACCAGGCCTCTACCAAACAAGGACCAGACATCTTGTAAACCACCACTGGCACAGCATGTCTAGTCAGGAGGATCGTCTTCCTGATTCTCAGGGTGTACTGTGTCAACAGGCAGAGCTCCTGGACAACTGGCCCCAGGTGGGGACCGCACACTGACCTCACCAGGCCTCCCCAAAGGAGGCAGAGATAGGGCCTCTGACCCTCGGCCTTTAGAGCTCTGGCCCCTCCCTCAGCCACTGTGGTGACCATATTTTTGCCACAAAATACCTGAGAAAAACAACTTAAAGGAAGAAGGGGTTAATTTGGCTCACAGTTTTCGAGGTTTCGGTCCATGGCACCATTGTCGTGGGCCTGTGGTGAGGCAGAACACGATGGCGGAGAGGCATGGTAGGCCAGAGCTGTTCACCTCAAGGCAACTGGGGAGCAGAGAGAGAGAGACAGGGAACCCTGAGCAAGATATTCCCCTCCAGGTGATGCCTCCACAACCTCCTTCCTCTGACCAGGCCTGTTGTGGTTTAGACCTCCAGTGTCCCCCAAAAGGCTTGTATGTTCTGAGTGCAGCTTTTGGAGGTGATTAGATCATGGGGTACTATCCTCAGCAGTGGGTTCATCCACAGGGAGTTCAGAAGTGACTGTGCCTTAGGAAGTGGAGACTGGAGGGAAGCAGGGGACGTGATTCGGAAGTGTCTGTGTCTCTCCTCAGCCCCTCCCCTTTCTCTCTGCTTCCTGGCTGCCCTGGGATGAGCAGCTGTTCTCCACTCAGGTCTTTCCACCATGTTGCTTCTGTCTTGGAGTCAGTCACTCATAGACTGAAACCATGAGCCAAAATAAACTTCTCCTTCAAGTTATGGGCATCAGGTATTTTGTCCCAGCAACAAGAAAGTGACTAAGGTAAGTCCCCATCTCCCAACAGAACATTCATCTGTGAACTCATCGATGGATCCAGCCCTCTTCTCGAAACCCATCCCAACACTGAGCCTTCTGAGAGACCTTACTGATGCAAAGCATAATGGCCACTTCTAGCATTAATTCACACTCTGGCCCTGGTGAAAGAAGGGTCTCACTACAGGGAGCCATGGAAATGCCAGCTGCTGCCCAGTGCACCATCTTCCTGGCTGCCCACTGCTGAGGGCAGAGAAACCTGCTCATTGCCTGCTTTCCCTGTCCCCGCTGGCACCAAGGGATTCCTGACACTGAGGGGACTGGAATGTGGGAGGTAAGCAACTTCACCTGCAAAGGACAGAGGACAGACTGTCCAAACACCTCCTGCACACCAAGGATCGCCCAGGGGACAGGGGACCAGGGTCTGGGATGGCATGCATGTCATGTCTGACACCTGCTTCAGGAATTCCAGGTGTCAAGAAACAAAGTTGGTCCCCTGACCCTTGGGAGAAATGGGGTAGAGGTGGAGCCTTCAAAAGTCATCTAGGCAGCTCCTGGCAATGCCACCCCCGGGGCCACCTCATGAGCACAGGAGGGCCTGGCAAGCCAGGTGACCAGCACTGCTGTACCCTCCTTTCACCTGGTCAGACACCACACTATACTGGTAGCCCCTGCGGACCTTGCTCTGGGAGCTCAACAGTGACTTCCCAATGCCCTTGGAGTTACAGTGCAAAACTGATTTGAAAAATAAACAGAAGGTCATTTCACTTTCTGACTCCATGAAGAACACCTAAAGTAACTGCCTTAAAGGGAAAAATTTATTTTGGCTCATGGTTTTAGATCGTGGTTCCATGGCCCTGTGACTTTGGGCCTGCAGTGATACAGTACACTCTGCAGACACGCACAGCAGAGAAGGCCTGTCCACATCATGGCATCAAGCAAAGGGACAGCAGAGCCAGGTCCCAGCACCCCCTGCGAGGGCGCAGCCCTGGGGCCTTAGCTCCTCCACCAGGCTCTACCTCCTAGACAGTCCACTAGGTCCCACAGCGCCCCAGGCTGGGGACAGGAGCCTATGGGGGACATTTCAGATGTAAACTGTGGCAGAAGGCGAGTCCTCTAACATTCTCAACACAAGTGCTTTTCTCCTGAGATCAGACCTAGGACAGCTCAGTCAGCATGCTTCTGGGAGAAGGGGGTGAGACAGGGCTTGATATGTATTTCCCGTTGCCCTTTCATTCCAGCTGGCCTGGAGCTCGTTGTGTGGCCCAGCTGACCTTGAACTTGTGGTGATCTTCCTGCGTCAGCCCCCCGAGTACTGGGATACAGTCATGTGCCACCATGCACACTCTTTTTGGACTCATGTCCTAGGTGGCTTCTGCCACCAGAGAAAATTACCTCCCAACCCGGTGAAAAAGCAGTGGGTCCACGGTGCTCACATAATGCATAGGAAATTTCTTCAATGCGTGAGAAATCACTTTTCATTTTTAGGTGAGGTAATAGTATGGCAATTATGTCTTTAAAAACAGAGCCAGGCTGTTTATCGTCCCCAACATTAGGCTGGGCTGGCTCCACAGTGCAGCAGGTGACCTGCCTGCCACAGGCTGTCCACTCCTGTGTGTCACTGCCAGGTCACAATAGGAAGAGTGACAGCGTCACCACGCAGAGCAGGTCCAATCTTTATTAAAATCTCCTTTGCATGCAATGTTCCCAACGTGGTTCTTTATTCCTGGAGCCTATCGTCACACAGTTTCTCACAGGGGTCTCTGAGATCAAGCAAGGGGGCTGACCGGCCCTGGTCCCTATCCTAAAGGTCCCCCACGCAGCTTGGGGAGCCGAGAGGTCCCTAGTGTGGTTTTCAGCGTGGCCAGCAAACACTGTGGTCACTGCAGAGATCTGGTCAGCCCAAGTCCCAAAGGCATTGCCAGCACTTTGGCAGGCTCAGGACTCAGCAAACAGCTAAGCGTGGCCACACTGGACTGGGCTTGCCACCTTCAGCAGGGCCTTCACATCTATTCCGTGGGGGCCTGCTGACACTGGTGGCCCAGGGCTTCAAGTTCTGGGTGGGTCCTCAGCTCGTTATTGTTTATAGATGAATACACCTCTGATTCATCCATTCCCAAAGGAGCAGGGTGGAGGGTCGATAAGGACATGGGAAAGACAGGCTCAGTCAAGAGAAGCGGAGTGTTTCCGTCCATTTTCCTGAGGTTGGGATAGTGTAAAGGGGAGGTTTAACTTGGCTCATGGTTCTGGGGATTTGGCCCATAGTCAGTTGGCTCCAAGGCAGGAATATCACAGAGGAAGGGCACCATGGGACAAACTATCTTAGTTCATGGGGGCCAGGAAGCAAGGAAACAGTATCATAAAAAAGGGAGGAAGGACCAGATAATACCCAAGGTCACATCCCCATGACCTGCCTGGACACACCCAGAAATGTACTTTTCTAATCTGCTAGGTGAAAGAGTTTTGGCCCAGACAGGTCACTGTAGCCGGTAAAGCCAAGGAGCTCTATCTCCCCCACCGCTAGGAATCTACCTCAGGCGCCACACTAGTGCCAATGGGCTATCTGTGCATCCCTAAGGTCCCCTCAGGCACCACCCCTAACCTAAGCTACATATAGGCCCCCACTCCATGTGTTCCACGGAGAGATTGCCGACCCCCGGGGGAGATGCCGCACGCCTCAAGGGATTGGGGGTATCTCTTCCCGCATTCTCAAAATAAAGGTCATTTTTATTTCATACTTCTTATCTTTTTAAAAAAATTTTATTTAAAAGGAAAAAGAGAAAAAACAAAACAAAACAAAGCGGTGTAAGGGTACAAGTAATACAGAACTACAAAAAAAAGTAAGAAATCACCAGTTAATAGATTACACATTATCATCTTAGAGATAGTTGCTCAAGTCACAGTATCAAAGCATACAAAGTGGACATTCAAACAGTGAGACTGCAAACAGTTGTGTTCAATGATCCAACCAAAAACATTAATATGGTTAGCTATTTAACACCCCTAAACACACTTGCAGTTGTATCCTTTAGAGCACTTTTTTTCCCCTCTCTTTTTTACAACAAAATTTACACATTTTGGGTTTGTTACTCCTTAGTTTTTATTACTTTTTTTTGGAAGAGAATAAAGTCAAATATGGCAAAACAAAGCTGTCAGTCAAAACCAAGGATAGACATAGTACATGATGTAAAAACAGAGTACAAGGTTATCAGCAATGGTTACCATAATGCCTCTTGCTTCCTTAAAAAGAATTGTCTATCTCATTAGGTATTATAAAGTTGAACTGAATAGTAGAGAACAAGACCAATAAAACTTAAACATTGTAAACATTACAGGACTTCCAAAGAAGATAATAATCAAACCAGAATGGGCATCTCAGTGAATCTTATTGCCTTCAAAGTAGTTGCCTATACCCTCAAACTTGATACTATCATACAGAACGGAACAGAGTCTAATCAGTCAAAACAAGATAGTGGGAGTATTACAGGACTTCAAATCAAATTAATAGGAAATCAAAAGGTTACTATAATATATCCTGCTAATTTTTAAAATTTTTCCCCTTAATTAAAAAAACCATAAAAAATAACTAAATAATTTTTTTAATAAATAAGGGAGAGATTGAGATAAAAGAGGACATAACAACATAACAATACAGGTCAAAGCATGACTGTTTCAGCAACCTAGTGCTTCACCACCAAATAACCCGACTTAATAGTAGTTACCATACTGTCTTTTTCCTTGAAATATTTGAATATAACTTCATATACTATAGCTTCAAATATTTCCATTCAAGAAGCCCAGAATAAAGCCATTCCAATTAATAAGTGAAAACTTTATAAGGCTTCAAGGCCACATAATGGGGAATCATGATTACCACATACTTTTATATATTTGAAACTATAGAAATGATCCCTGAAAGTAAGCCTTCATACTTCTTATCTGTTCAGCCACCACCAGTCCCCCACAGTTCTATCACTAGGCACTTTGCAAGCCAACCAAGATGCCAAATAAGCTTCACCATCACAGTGAGAAAGAAGGATCATGTAGAGAGAAGAAACTGGAAGAATCCATAACGAGGAAGGTTTGGGTCTAAACACCGCCGAATCCCCCACGGCCCTAGCTGTGCGTGGGAACCATGGGTCATTCCCCAGTCCCGGGACCACAGAGCCTCCCAGAGACACACACCGTGCACACAGCCAGACGCACATGCAGAGACCGGGTCAATGGGACTTCAGGCCCTTGCAAGCAGGAGGGCACCGACTTCCCCGATTCTCTACCAGGCTCAGAGTCAGGAGTAGGGTTCGGGGTCCTAGGAGTGTTGTCCTTCCGGGCAAGGAGAAAAGGGGCCATCATAGGATAAGCCCTGCTGTGAAAACAGTCTCTTTTGAGTGCTGAATTGTAATCTGCATGGAGTCCCTTCCCGTAACAGCAGCTATAATAACATAGCAATGGTGTTTATTGATCCTGCACCAGGTCCTAAGCACTTCACCTGCTAAGTACTCTACAGAGAGCACCGACTTAGAATCCCAGCAGCACTACCGAGCACTGTTCCTGTTCACAGATGAAGAAACTGAGGCCCAGGGAGCTTACAAAACTGGCCCCAATCCCTCTGCTGGTGAGCTGCGGAGCCCCATGGACACCTGAGCTGTCTGTTCCTGGGGTCCCCCCCATGGGAGCGGTCACTTCACCACCGCCTTTGGTGAGATACGAAGTTTATGAACCCCTCAAGGTCAAGCTTCCCATTTGGGCTGTTATTTCATTAAGTCAGGGGGCCTGATGATCCTTCCGCATCACCTCCTGAGGTAGACTGAACGCCACCCGTCATGTTTGTCACTGTGTCCTTGGGAAGGCCATAATGGGGAGGCATGGGATGAGCTGGACCTCCTCTCCTACAAGGATCCTGAGACAGAAAACCAGCCCCTGGGCCACAGTGGAGCCTCTCGTAGTCCTAGGCACTTCCTGTTCTGCTCTCCGCCACCCTGAGCCCATCGCTGCCCCACAACACCCTCATCAAGACTGGGGGTCCACTGCCAGCCCACTGCCTGTAAGACTTAGCTTCCTCTCCACACTGTCATCAAACACACCCTCCCATGGAGCAGTTGTTCAAACATTGACAAAATTAAAATTCAGTAAGCCAGGGAAAAGATTTTATATTGTAAAGATCAAATTCAATCCACAAGAAAGCGCTCTGAAAAATGCAAAGCGGTTTGACAGGGATTAACAGAAAATAGTGTCACACCTCAACATCCAACCTAATGCTTCCAGATGGTTCCAGAAGGCAGGCCTCTTCTCCATGGCAGCCACCTGAGTGTGTCACACGCTCTGTCCCACATGTCCTCTCCTCTGACCACTGCAAATCCCACACAAAATGTCCCCGAGCCCCTTTAAATACAAATCCCTGTCACAATGTCCCGGGTCTCAGCCTCTAGTTTCCGACAAGCTACGGAGACCTCAGGGCTCTTTTACCTCAGCGAAGTTCTAGGCTCCCCGATGCCATGTCTGCTTTCCTACTGGAAAAACTTTCAGCCTTGGAGTTGATATCACCTTCCATGCTTTTCTGTCACCAAGTGCAGTTAGTTTTGGCCAATTCCTTCAGAGTCAAAATGCAAAGTAAAAGATACAACTTGAATTTCTCCCTTTCTAGTAGCTCATCACGTAGGCACCCACACTGAATTCTCCTGACCGTGACCTCTCTGGGCTCTTTAGGCCTGGACTGACTCTAAGGACTGGGAACTATAACGTACAGTTTAACTATGTGTTAAAACCTGCAGCTTGAGCTGGGCATGGTGGCACATGTCTGTAATCCTGGCACATGAGAGGCTGAGGCAGGAGGATTGCAACTTCAAGGCCAGACTGGGAAATGTCATAACACCTATACTCCCACCCCCCAAAACAACAATCCTCCTGTCCCTTCTCATATTTGGGGTACCAGTGTGGTCCTTGTTCCTCTGGGGTGCATCTACCTGTCAGGAAGGACTGAGGTGTTCCTCTAGCCTGGGTGTAGTGAGAGCAGCTGCCCCTGCTGACAGGAGAAGCCACTGTCCTCCTGGGCTTTCCGTTGTCCTGGGCCTTCCAGACACCTGACTCCTCAGAAAGCCAGGCTAGGAACTGGCAAAGCACCTGATTCCAGAGCCATCGTCTGCCTTCTCCCAGTGCCAGCATCGCCACCACGGAACAGGACCTGTGGAAGGGAAGCACCAGGCAAGTGCCCAGCGGCCACCCAGACCTGCTGTGTCTCCCCGCCTGGGCCCTGCAAGGCAGCCCATGCAAGGCCACTCAGGGAATTGAGCGCTGGCACTGGGGAAGGTGGAGTGCCCAGGGATAACTAATGACAGTTCAGCACCACCTCTTCAGCAGCTCCAGGGACCTGCCAGTCAGTATCCCACAGAGTGCTTAATCCAAGATACTAAAATTAGCAACGAGATGTCTGCTTTCCTCCTACCAAGCTGACAGATGCTTTAAATTGTAATAAAGGGAAACTACACTTAGCTGGCTAGAAACTCGGGTACAATCAGCTGGGCTCAGTATTGCACTCATGGAATTCCAGCAGCCCAGGAGGCTGAGGCAGGAGGACTGCAGGTTTAAATCAGTTTGAGCAACTTAGTGAGTGTCTTAGTTACTTTTTGCTCGTCGCTAAGACAAAATACCTGAAGCCCAAAGTTGGCAAAGGAAAGGTTTATTTCTTACAGTTTTTGGAGGTTTCAGTCCACACTCAGTTGGCTCCAAGACAGGCGGGCATGGCTGGGCTGCCTTCCATGGCGGCTGCAAACAGCAAAAAGGAACCGGCAAAGAGCAAGACACACTTTCTTCCTGCCATTACATCACATCCTGGCTCCACCCCTTTGTGGGTGGAGCACTGACACCATCATCCAAGCACTAGACAATGAACGAATAACAAATGCACAATTCAAACTCATGAGGCCTGGGGGCCACAGACATAAACCATGACAGTGAGACCCTGTCCCAGAATAAAAACTTTACACTGAGGGACATAGCTCAGTGGGAAGGTCCTGGGCTCAATTCCCAGTGCCGAAGAAAAGGAAAGAAAAACAGGAAAGGAAAGAGAAAAAAAAGAAAGAGAGGATGAAAGCTCTAGACTTGGTCAGGACATTTCAACAGGGTTGGAGTCTGACACAAGAACCCAAGGCTGCTGGGCCAGCATGGCCACATGCCAGGGTAGAATGGCACCTTCTGAGACCCCGGGACAATCAGGACATCCTAGGATTCTCCTTCCCTGGGATCCCACCACTGGGGGTTGTTTAAATACGATCAGAACTTCCCTGAATGGAAATAGTACCCAAGGCCCCAAGCTCCAAGAAATACTGACACCAAGTAAATTCACATTTGACTCTGCAAGATTTGTGAAGTTTCATAAAACAGGGTGTGTTGGTGGCTTACGGATTGAATGTCAATATTCAGGCTCACTGCATTAGTCACTTTCCTGTCACTGATACAAAACGCCCACACCGTAAGGAGGAGAGGTTTACTTTGGTTCATGGTTTCAGTGGTTCGGTGGATGGTATTCTGGCTCCAGGGCAGAAACAGCACGATAGAAGGGTCTGCAGAGGACAGCTGCTCATGTCATGGTAGCTGGAAAGCAGAAAGAAAAGAGAGGTGCTGGGGACAAGAATGTGGCCTTCCAGGTTACAGCTTCTGTGATCCAACACTTCCGGCCAGGCCCCACCTCCAAACAGCAGTCAGCTCCACACCCATCACTGGTCAATCCACTGATGACCATGGCGCCCATGATGCAAATCCTTCAAGGCCCTCACTCTGAGCACAGAGTGGGGGACATTTTTAATCTAAACCATAACACTTAACTATCCAAAAAAAAAGGCCACATTGAAATCAGAGCCTGATTGGTCCAGTATTTCATGGTGGACATGTGTCTCCCTCCTTGGAACCCAGGGGGACGGAGGGAATTAGTCAGACCCATGGCAGCTTTGTGGTCCCCGGGTCAGCCAGACCCTGGCCCAGCAGTGTCCCCAGGGAGAGGGTGCAGAGCCTGCAGCTGACCCTTAAAATGCATACACACGCTCAATCATGGAGGAAGGAGCGATGTCCTCAGCCTGCAAGCCCTGTCCTCTCCAGGCACAGTCACATCTCCATCATGACACAGATTCTCCACCTCTGTGTTATGCAGTCTGGAACTGGTGGGGCCGAGAAGCTCCATGTTCTCATTAGGGGAGAGGCATGGAGCCAGCCCACCGGAAGGAGACTTAAAAGATGGTCCCCAGCATCCCAGCCCCTGGAAAACATGCCTTTCCTCATGTCCCTTTCTACAGCTCTGTCCCTAGAGTGGCTGTCACCACAGTAGAGCCACCACCCGCTCTCAGCATGAATGGGCCATAAATCCCTTCATGCTCCTGAAAAGCAAATAATCCTCAGTGGACAGAGTAGCTCTGATTAAAGGCACCACGGAAAGAAGAAGGGTGGCCTCCCAGGCCCAGCCAGGTGTGTGGGGAGGGACCCGTGATCTGGCAGAGAGAGCAGCTCAGAGTCAAGCTGAGGACCACCCCCAGCCCCACAACCCCAGGATGTCACACACTGGACATCATGGAGGAAGAGCTACCCCAGCTGTGACCCGCAGTCTCAACCCCAGCCCAACGCACTGCGGGGTCACTCTCTGGGGTTGTGCCTGCTGGCTCTGATCTCTGGGGCCACCAGAAGTGGAGCTGAAATGAACTTGGATGCTCTGACCATGGGGAAAGGAGCCCAGGGATCCCACGGGCCTGAGCCCAGCTCAGAACTCCAGGGCCCCGCTGCCGAAAGGAAAAGGCCTGGAAAAAGAAACCAAGCACTACCCTCTCCCGGGGACCACACAGCTCTCAGGCACATTCCTGCGAAGAGAAACCAGCCGTCACTCATCAAACACCTCCCGATGCCAGAGGAGGACACAGCAGTGCTGGTCCACGATTCAGGATGCAGGGAGGGTAGGACACCTGTCTCTGGTCCCCCCACTTCTATGAACAGGAGACTGGGCCTCCAATAGACAGCCATCTGCAAGTGTTTCCGTGCCAGTGTGCATGTGTGCACGTGTGTCTGTCCCCAGCACTGGGACGGGAAATGCTGTCTCTTCCTTCTAACCAAATTACTCTGTTTTCTGACCTTAAAAAAGAACAGCAGGTTTCCTTGGACGATTTCAAACCTTATTAGCCCCAGTGGGAAGTGACGCTTTAATGGGGCCGCGACGCGCTCAGCCTGGCGTCCACGCACGGCCCTTCTCCTTGGCGACACCACGGCCGCTCCGCTTTAATTTCCTCGCTCGCCTGATAAGGAGCTGGCAAATGCAATTTGTGAGGCTGCAAGCCGGGCAAACTCCAGGCTATTAGATGAGTCACAGGCGATCCAGGCCCCTGCGCCGAGCTCTGCGGAAGGACAGAAATGAGCTCTGATTTGTGGGCCGATAGCATGGGGTGGACGCGATTTTCTCAGCGTCTGGGAGCTGCGGGCCCTGCCCTCTCGGTTTCGGGTTCAGTGTCATCCTTCATCAAGGGAGGCTTCGCTCACCTCGCAGCCCGGCTTGCCAGAATCTTCCTGCAGACCTGCAGCCTGGCAAGACCAGGCAGACAGAGAGCATCAACAACTAATGCTTTTGAGCACTTAGCAAGCAATACTCTGGTGCTTTACATAAATTATCTCTCAAACTGGGCCAAGTGGCACACGCTGGTAATCCCAGCACTTGGGAGGCTGAGGCAGGAGATTCACCATGAGTTTGAGGCCAGCCTGAGCTACATAGTGAGACCCTGTCTCAAAAACAAAACAGAACAATTTGTTTTAGTTGTTAAATAAACTCTTTCATTAATTTTCCTAACAAAAGGAAGGGTAGTACTATTACCCAATATTCAAATGAGGCGACAGGGCCCAGAGAACAAAGCAGTAGAGGGTGGGGGACCTGACTGCCCCCAACAGACCTCACCCTGCCAAGGGACCTCAATATCACTCAGCAGGAAATCCAGATTGTTCCATGAAAGTCCGTGTGTTTAAGGATCAGCAACACCACCCCCCCCCATGCTGTCTGATGGCTCTCCTGAGACCAACGGGCCTGGCAGCCACTCTCACCCCAGTGACAGGTGTGCAGGACCCGTCTCCTGAGGCCAGCAGCCTGCAGTCACCAGGAAATGCTGACTTCAGCCCTCGCTTCCCCAGGCACTGGGGCGCCCTTCCTCAGCCCTCCCAGCGCCCCCAGGGTGCCTTTCTTCCAGTCACTCAGTCAAGATCTTGCAGTCCCCATCAGTTGCTGCCTTCTCCCACCCCTCCCCCACACGCTGTCCTGGACCCCGCCTGTCCACTCCTCCCAGCTCACATGGCCACCACCCTAGACCTGCCCGGCTGCGCCACCACACAGACAGCGCCCGCCACTCACCATCCCACCTGCAGCTCCAGAGGCCACATGCAAGCCAGGAACCTATGAAGCCGGACAAGGGACTCAGTGTGGATCAAGAGGACCAGGGGGCCAGTGTCACATCCCAGCCTGCTCGCAGGAGATGCATGTCCCCACTCAAGCAAGCAGCCACGAACAAAAGAGGTGACTTCTTCTGCCTCTGGGATACTCGGGCCCTTGGTGGATTGGCTGGTCCCCAACTACAGCGGGAGAGACCCCACTCTCCAGAGCCCTCCAGCTCATACGGTGTCCCCAGAGACACAGCTGGAAATCCCAGGACCCCCTCAGGCTGACACAGGAAATCAACTGTCATGCATAGGACAGAGGGAGCCTATGAACCCCAAGAAGGCAGCAAGAGAGCCAGGACAAAAGAAATAAAAGACTCAGAAAAATTAACAAAATCGCTATCAATACGGACTCTAAATGTAAAACTTTCCAATAGAAAGATATAATGTAGGAAAACGAGGGGAAAAAAAAACAAGACTCGACTTTATGCCATTGATAAGAAACTCATTCTAGATTTAAACACTATATGCCAAAGGGGACACAAAAAATATCCCATGAAAATGGTAACCAAGAGAGTAGAGATGATACACCACATGAAAGGACTCTAAGTTAAAGACCGCCACAAAAGACATAACGGGCATTATGTTGTGATAAAATGGTCATTCCACAAGAATGGCCCTGACTTGTGTACTGAAAGGCAGAGACTTGTATACTTAAAATCACAAAGTATATTAAAAAACTACAAACAAATGGAAAGACATTCCGTGTCATGACTGGAAGCTTAATGTTATCAGACGTGTGCACAATCAAAGCCATCTGCAAACCCAGCCCAATCCTTCTCAAGGTCCCAGTGGCGTATTTAGAGAAATAAAA